CCATCCTTGTTTTTCCCTGAATTGGGGTGAAAATGTGGATAATGGGTGTCCTGATTTTGGCCACAGGAATGATTTTTTTCCCAGTAGCTGGGAATGGGGCAAGTGCAGGACCCTGAATGCCAGGGGCAAGGGACTCTCCTTTCCATGGACAAGGGCATTATTTCCAGTGGGGATAAAAGTGGGTATTGCCACGGGTTTTCCATGTAAATCACTGCTTTGTCTTATTAATAATGTCTAATTAATTTCTTATTAATAATGCTGCGAAGAATTGTTTGATTCCTTATCTCATGGCTGTTTACAGTAAATTGTTTTTAACCCCTTAAATTGTTTTTAACCCCAGTAAATTGTTTTTAATCCCAGTAAATTGTTTTTAATCCCAGAAAATTGTTTTTAACCCCTGATCTTTTTGTGCTTTCAGAGTGGGAAGGGGGAAGGAGCAGGAGCATGGATTTGGTTTTAGGATCACGAAACTGGAGAATCCCACCCCTAAACCCCCCATCACGGGGAGAACACAACTTTATTGCAGGGATTAAATGAACCTGACCCCCCGTGAGGCCTCAGGGCAGGAACGCGGCCAGGGCACAGCAGCCCTGGGCACCGGGGCTGGCTTTGGCACGGCGGTCACGGCCCCACGGCTGGGGATGCTCTGCAGCCACAACGGGATCTGCTCTCCCTCCTCTCACCCTGTCCTGTTCTTGAGCTGCTCCAGCAGCTCCTGCAGCCTCTCCAGGAAGCGCCTGAGGGCGGATTTTGGGAAGGAGATGACGCCAGGCTGCTCCCCTGGCGAGTTCAGGGTGCGCCGCGGGGCCGCTGTCGGTGCCGCCGGGCTGGGGCCGGTGTGGGCGCGGATCCAGGCGTGGAAATGCTGGGTGGACGTGAACACCCCGGGCCTCCTGGCACTGGCACAGCCCTGGCCCCAGCTGGCCAGTCCCACCAGCCAGAAGTAGTCACCGACGATGTCCTTGCACACCAGGGGTCCCCCGATGTCCCCCTGGGCCAGCAGAGAGGGGTCAGGGGCTGCTGCCGCGGCTGCTCCCGTGCCGAGCCCTGCAGAGCCGCGTTCCCGGCTGCGTTCCCGTGGGAAGGCTCCGCTCTGGGGCTGGGGGCTCCGGGCTGGCAGCACGATGGGGCTGGCTCAGGGTGGGCTCTGTCCCATCCCCGCACCGGGAGCAGCGAGGGCAGGGAATGGGAATTCCAGGGTATCCACACCTGGGGCTGCTGGG